TCTCCTCAGTCAGCAGAGTGACCAGCCACTATGATCAAAAAGACACTTAGAAAACCCTAACTCTGTGGCAGGCATGGTCCTGCAAGGCTGATATTCCGACCTCCATTGAGGCTGGGGCAGGTTACACATAGCCTAAGGTCACATTGTGAGGATTGGGACCCACACTGAGGCCTCAGGTCCTAAAGCTTGTACTGCCATTCTCATAATTGCTAGGTTGACCATGTCATACCCCTGACACACCCAGGAAACGGGATCAAGAGTCAAGGATCCTCAGCCTGCTGATCCCTACATCTACCAGGGGTCCCTTGTGGAGAATGGAAGGGAATCATGGCCTCTGAACTTGGAGCAGCAACTACTCTCTTTACTGGCAGCTCTCTTCCTCCCTAGAGAGATCTTGAGATGTTGGCAAGCCCACCAGCCTCTCCCCAGTTTGGAGTGTCCATGTCCCATCATGCAAGCTCCAGGCAGGCAGGCAAGTGTGGGGGTACACAGTTCAGTCACAGACCCTATCATTTCTGGCTTTGGCATTTAATCTGGTATTCATTCCAACCTGATTTATCCAGATCAACTGTTAAACCCTGGCTGCTCAAGGTGTGGTCCACAAGCCAGCAGCCTCCTGGTAACCACCAAAGAGCCTGTGGAGAAGGTAAAATCTCTGCCCCCCACTATAGAATGGAGACTTCAGGCCAGCCAGATGCTTCCAGTGATTTGAACATGCCAGAGCATTTTTTTACCTTAATTAATTAATTTTATTTGCAAAGCAGAGGGACAGGAGAAAAATGTCTTCCTAATTCCCGCCAACAGCCAGGGAACTCAATCTACATCTCCTGCGTGAGCGGCAGGGATCCCACCACTTGGGCTAACAGGCTACATGAGCATTTTAAAGGTACTGGTACACAGCCACCTGTAGGGCATTCTCGGAGTGTGAATTTCCAGAAACTAGAGTCCTAACTTCCAGAGAAGAGAGTACAAAAGTAGAGGGAGACCTGAGAGAGAAGTCCAAGAGAGAAGGAGGAGAAAGAGATTGTGCGTGCGGATGCAATTAGCTTTCTTTGGATTCTCTACCCTCAAGAAAAATCAAGTCCTGTCTGGCTGGAATCAAAGAACAACTTTGTTTTATCAACAGTGGAAGAGTGACCCTTAGCCAGCGGACACCCTCTCCTCCCTACAGGCAACGCTGGTGTCCTCTACAAGCCCTCTTGGGCTGAGCTCCACTTGGCAGTGAATGAAAGGCACTGTTCTGCTTATATCACCCCACTTCTCTGTCTCCCAAAGCCCACAGAGGTTTACACTGGTGCATATCAATAAGATTCTTCTTATTTTCTATTGATCCACTGTCCTAATCTAATATGAATTAGGGCAAAGGAAAGAGGACGGGAGAAAGGAAATGAACCTGTGCTAAATATCTGCTATGTTCAAGCAGGTTTTTAACCTCGTGGTAACAATACTCGGGTTCCCTGTTAGAGTACTGTGTTCAATTCCCGCCTCTGGCTGCAGTCAGGCCTCTCACCACCACACTCAGAGGAAGAGGTAAGTGGCCATGCACAGTCCCTGACACCCAGTGTACATCTGCCTATCTGGGAGAGTTTGTTTCCCTGATTTTCTACTAAAGAAATGTATAAACAATAAAAAAAATCCATATGTTCTGCCCAATGCATTCTCTAAAAGTTCCTTTGTTCACATATCTGTCATTTAATAAACATCAAACTAGGCAAGATTAGTAATTTTTTAAGGTTTACTTACTTTGAAAGGGAGAGACACAGAGAAAGATCTTCCATTCACTGCTCCACTGCCCTGTGGTTGCAATGGTGAGAGCTGAGCCGATCTGAAGCCAGGAGCCAGGAGCTTCATGCACATCTTCTACAAACCACAGTGGCAGCTCCTGATTTCTAGTTTCCGCCTCGTCCAGCCTGGGCCATTGCAGCCATCTGGGGAGTGAACTAGTGGATGGAAGATCTCTCTATGTGTCTCCCTCTCTGTTACTGTCTCAAATAAATAAATCTTCTAAAAAATATTTACTGGGCTATAAGTGACATAACAGAATTCAATGCATTGGTTTTTAACATATACACAAGGTTATGAAACCATCACCACTATCTATTTCCAGAATATTTCCATCTCTCAAAAAGAAACCTCAGATTGAATAGAGTCCTTTCCCTTTGCTTCCTTCCCTAGTTTTCAGCAGTCACTTCCTGTCTCAATGGATTTGCCTATTCTGGATATTTCCTGTAAATGAAATTGTATAATATGTAGGCTTTTATGTGCAGCTTCTTTCAATTAGCATAAAATGTGTTAACATTAGTCCATGATGGAACACATAGCAATACTACATTCCTCTTATAAATGAATAATTCTCTATATACCACTTTTTTAATGTTTATCTTTTTGTCTACTTGAATGGCTGTGAGCAAACAGAATGAGAGGGCTCCATCCACTAGTTCATTCCTCGAATGCCCACAACAACCACAGCTGGGTCAGGTTGAAGTGAGGAACCTCAAACTCCATCCAGGTATCTCATAGGTGGCAGGGGTCCAAGTACATGAGCCACAATCTGCTACTTCCTAGAAAGCTTTAGCAGGAAGCTGGATAAGCAGAGTAACCAGGACTCAAATCAGCACTCCAGTGTCAGATGTAGGTATCTCAGATGATGGCTTAACCCCCTGTGACACATTGCCCACACCAGTTAAACTACCTTTCGTTCATTCACTCCTGAGTAGGTGAACATTTAGGTTAATGTCACTGAGGGACTATTATTAATAATGGTTCTATAAATACTGATGTGCAAATTTCCATATAAATATATATTTTAATTCTCCTGAGTATATACATAGCAGTGGTGTCCTCAGATCATCTAATAGTGAGTCTACGCTTAACTTTCTGAATACCAAACTGTTCCAAAGTGACTACATCATTTACATTCCCATTGGCAATGAGGATGCAAGATATTCACATTCTTGTCCATATATTATTGTATATTACTTTAATTAAAGTCTTCCTAGTAGCCATAAAGTAGTATTTCACTGTAGTTTTCATTTCATTTCATTGAATATCTTCTCATGTGCTATTGGTTATCTGTACTCATATTTATTTGGAGAAAGTATTCAAATTCTTGGCTCTTTTTTTGGTTGAAAACACATATTTTAAAAATATAATGTGGCAGCTCTTGGTATCATATTCCCCTTCTTTCGCTGGGTTTGCTGTTTTTGTTGCTTGTTTTGTGAATTCCTGAGTTAATTTGGTAAAATCTATATTCTTTATCATGTGTGACTACTGGTATCTGCTCAATTAAGTTAGTGGTCAACAAATGAATAAACAGAAATTTCTTTGTGTTTGTAAAGAAATAAGTCACCCAGTGTGTGTGTGTGTGTGTGTGTGTGTGTGTGTGTGTGTGTGTGTTGGGGCATACCTTCATGGGTCAAATAGGCAGTTTACAACTCTACATTAGCCTTCACTTCCTGCTTGTGTAGAGCCCCAAAGTCAGAGGTTAAATTAGGATTTTCCTGGGCATGCGCATGGCTTTGTGCATGTAGTTGGAAGGCTAGATTTTTAGAAAGGCATATGAACTTTTCAAAGATCCCTTTGGACCTCCCATTCCCCATTTTCCTTTTCTTTTGTGCTCTCTACTCAGTCTTTTGTTAATTCTGAAATCACTGCCTCAGGAAGCTGCAATGTTTAAACATTCCCACTGATTATCTCCATAATTACCCTAGCAGTAAGACTGCTTACAAAGAAAGCTCTGAGGTCAAATAAAGACGAGAATGCAGTTTTACAGGAACCTCCCTAGCAGGTAACATTGATTAATCTCTGGGGGTGAAGTTTTTTGCAAACCCCCAACCTGTTTTGTCCCCTTCCATTGCTTCTGATTTGCTCATCTGCACAGCACCAGCTTCTAGGTTACCAAATTTCCTTGTCGCCTGAGGGGGTGGGAGTAACACAAATTAGAATGCCACAAGCTTCACTGTTCTTTTTATTTTTCATTTAAATTCTTTATTTTATCACACAGTTTAATAAGTATTGGGGTTTCCTCTTCCCCCCCATTGTTCTCTCCAGGCTTTCAATAGGTGTCTTCCGAGTAAGACTCACTGTTCTTAATGGTATCATTAAGAATACACTGAACTTTTTTTTTAATAAAATAAATGCATCAGGTGAATGCAAGTCTTTGGTTAATTTCCAGAGTTCTAAAAAATGCTGATTTTGATCATTCTTTGCTAACATGCTCATTGTTTTCATGGGGAAGTGGATTTTTTTTCAAAAGTTCTTACTTCATTACTCTGTAAATGCTTCTTTTAATGAAACACATAAATATTATCACAATCCAATTCTATAAACTTTTGTTGTCTTTTTTTCTACTCATAAAGTAACATTCTTATTTATTTTCTCCTTCAGTGAGTAAAGTGTAAAATTCAGAATGGAGACACAAAACATATATTTTCTGATTTCCCAGCAGTTTCCTCAGACAGTGGTTGTGTGATAGGAAAGTACAGAGCTAAAATACTTCTTCCAAAGAAATAAATATAAATCCAGAGGCACAGTGGTTTTAGTTCCCTATTAGTTACAAGATGAACTCGGGATTACAGACTTGTCCGACTATGGAAGACTTGAAGAGGATACATCATATTCCAAGGAAAAAAATGCCTTGATTTCTTGAATCTGTGGGAAGAAGAGCAGAACTTCTGAACAGACCAGTTGTGTGGCAATTACTCAACTTCAAATTTCATGTTGCTGGTGACTCTTCCTTCTCCATGGCTTTCTCCCAATAGCAGACGCTGAGGCAAATTAAATGGAAATGAAACCACGATTAATATCTTCGCCCTTCTTGAGCAAAACTGGAATTGGTCAAGGATCTTTGGTGACTGCAGGAGATAGTTGGAGATAGTTGGAGCCAAATTCCAGGAGTCAGTGTGCTTTGGGGAGGGGTGGGAAGGAGATTTGCATGTGTGACCTCATCCAGAAGAAGCTCCAGCCCCGAGCATATAAACAGGAGGAGTGTGCTAGGCAGGGAGTTGTACCCTGCTCCAACTCTCCAGCTCCAGCAATCACCTAACTCATCAGGACCATGGCGGCTTTCAGGTTCTTGCTGCTCCTTCTGTGCCTTGGATGGAAGCTTACCTTGGCCAGCCCTGCAAACTACAGTGACAACTGCCTGGATTTCCAAGACCTTTTTATCACCATCAGCAGCACAGGCATCAAGGCCTCTCCAACAGTCTATGAAAGCAACACAGTCTACACAGGTGAGCAGAAGCCACTCTCTTTGCGGTGCTTTGTTCCCCAAGGGGTGTGGCCCAGAATCTCAGAACCTACCCCTCTGTACCTGCTCTCCATTACAGTATATTCTTACAGAGAGAGATTTCTGTAACTTTCTTGTGCAGACCTGGGCCGCGGGAGGTCAAGAGTCCCTGTACCTGGAATGTGTGTCCAAGAGTATGCTTGGAGCAAATTCTCTGATAAAAGTAAAATGGACGTTTTAAAGTTTGCTTTTTTTTTTTAATTTTTAAGGGATAATAACTGCATCTTATGACATTCGCTTGATAAAGCAGTGCCAATGTGGACTATTGTGTCCTGCACACTTCTAAAATGCGCTGTTTGTATCTGGTCTGTAGTTGGACCATCTAGTGAGCTGAACAGGAAAGCATGACAATGTCATCTCATATACTGACTTGCTCAGGTTTCACTATAAGCCAAGAATCTGCTCACACAACTTAGTGTATCTTGTTCTTTCTTTTTAAGATTTATTTGTTTATTATTGGAAACTCAGATTTATAGAAAGAGAGAGAAAGCTACAGAGAGAAATATCTTCCATCTGTTGATTCACTCCCCAAGAAGCCACAATGGTAGGAATTGCGCTAATCAAAAGCCAGAAGCCAGGAATTTCTTCCAGGTCTCCCATGCAGATGCAGGATCCCAAGGCTTTGGGCCATTCTCGACTGCTTTCCCAGGCCGCAAGGAGGAAGCTGGATAGGACTTGAACCAGCAGTCATATGGGATCCTGGCACATGCCAGGCGAGGACTTTAGCCACTAGGCTACTGCACTGGGTCCTATATTTTATTCTTAATCCAAGGCTTTGATGAGAGGTGTCTTTTGTATTAGACAAACTTACAGTCAATGAAAATACTTTCTAATTAATTTCATAAGAGCAGTAACAAATAATAGCATTTCATATGGTGCTTTATGCATGCCTTCCACCCAATGATCTATTGTTCTAATTTTATAGGTGAGAAAACAGGCAGAGATGATAAGGGACTGAAGCATTCTGGCTTCAGAGGCCCTGCCCTTAACCATTGCATGGCCCTGGGTTATAATAATGGGAGTTGACACAGTTACCATGTGCTAGGTATTGCACTAGAGGGAAATGCTATCATTTCTCCATTTTACAGATGAGAACAAAGTAAGGTTGTTCAAATTTTACTCAAGACCATTAGGACAGAACAGAGCTAAGAGTTGAACCTGAATAATACATCCAAGATCGTTCCCACTTTGTCTAGCCAGCATGTCTGATTTCAGAGCCTGTACTCTTAACTAGGGTGCTATCTGGGCTCTCCTTAATGTCCAGCCACACATGTTAGAGCCCACCAGGATGACTGATAATCCACAATCAGGGTTGACAGAAACCAGACATGTGGCCTACCACAGCAGGCTCACACATACCCATGTTGGCCTGTCCTCTAGCATTTCACTGGGACCCACCATCAATTGCTGGAGTCCCGTGATGAAGTTCACAATGTCCCACCCCTCTCAGGTAGTGAAATTTGTCCTTCCAAAGCAAGAAGAAGAATCCTGTCATTCAAAATGAGCAGCAGGTTGCACCTATGTGATGGCCCATGGAGGGACCTGGAAGGTTGAGAGATGTGAGGGCTAATGAGATTACAGGCCCCGATGGAAGATAGCATGTCATGTAGTGAAGGATCTTGCCACTGAAATGGAAGAATGAGAACTCTGCCATGAGTTGTGTTGTGGAGGGGGAGATGGGGGAGTCTTTTGAAAGTGGGAAGACAGGAGTAGGAGAAGTCAAGAGGACCTTAGGTTGAGCCAGGAGAAAAGGAAGGAGTAGAGAACTATGCTTCCTTGAATGCCTACACATGCCATGCACTTCCCCAAACTTTGCCTGACTCACCCTCAGAGGGTGGGAGTTTGGCACAGTGGTTAAGACGCTGGTTAAGATGCCAGCTGGCAGCAGCCCCTGACCTCAGCTTCCTGTCAGGAGGACCCTGCGAGTCAGTAGTGATAGCTCAAGTGGTTGGGTTTCTGCCACCCACCTGGGAGGCCTGGACAGAGTCCCAGCTTCCACTGCTGGGCTGTTGTAGGCACTTGAGAGGTGAACTAGGGGATACACGCTCACTCTCATTCTCTCTCAGATAAATATTAAAAGTGAAAGCTTCTATCTCCAAATAGAGCCATGAAAGTCAAAGCCTCTGCCCACAGGGATAGAAAATGCAGAGTCCCTAACTGTAACAGCCTTGTTGACTGCCATAGAAGTGTCAGCGCCAGGACCTAAATCATACCCTCTCAGGCCAGGCGCTTTTCCCAATTTTGGTATTGAAACTCTTACATTTCAAGGTTGTTTCAACATTGATGAGAGCCTTATATGAATGGCTTGGTGGGTATCAAGTTGTAAGCTATAGCACAGGCACTGTAATAGAGTTCTTGGGCCAGATTTGCAGAACAAGGAGACCAGATACCTTAGAAATGAGAACAACAACAAAAAAATCAGAATGAGGGCAGGTTCTTAGGGCCCCAAAAGTTAGGTGCTGCATACACCCATCCACAGAACAGAGGCAAAAAAGAAAAGCAGAAATATTTGTTTTTGCTAACGTTTATTTATTTATTTTCATCTACTTGAAAGGCAGAGAGAAATGAAGCAAGATCTTCCATTTGCCAGTTCACTCCTCACATGCTTACAATAGTAAGGGCTGGTCTTGGTTGAAGCCAGGAACCTCAAAGTCAATTTGGCTGCCCCATGTGGAGGTAGAAACCCAAGGTTTTGAACCATTGTCTGCTGCTTCCCACGATGCACTTTCATGAAGCTGGTTAGGAAGCAGCATAGCCAGGACTCAACCTATCACTCATAAATGAGGTCTAAGCGTCCCCAGTGTGGGCTTAACCTACTCTACCACAATGTCCAACCCCACACAAGTAGATGTGTTTAGATGCCCTGGAACAAGGACACTCGCAGGGTTTTGAACAGCTGTGTATTCTGATTCCATGTTGTGTAAACCAGGTTTTGCCACAGCATGTTTCAATCCAGCCTGAAGCAAGAAGACCCTCAGACTGTAGAACTCTATAGAACGCAGGTGTCTAGGAAGTGAGAAAGGAGGACTGGAGCCAGAGTGAAAGGGCGAGAAAGGAGGCGGGATGAGTAAGGGCATGTCCAAATGACTGACTGTGTGACACCACCCCTCTTCACCTCCACCACACTGAGACCCACAGATCTAGGTCAAATGTCAGGGGCTCACTGAGCAAGTCAGGGCCCATGGGATCCAGTCAGCCGATCTTGATTGGCAAAGCAAACCACAGGAACAGAGAGATGCATTGTGCTAAAAATAACACAACAACGCAATTTAATCCAACATCCATCAGGTATTAAAAGCTTTACGTTCTCCTCTTTAAGCCTCCCAGGAACCTTTCCAGGTAGCTATCATGATCCCAGGTAATGAGGGATGACATCATTTTCCCCAGACCTGGAACCAGGCTAGGTGCAAAGTGCACATTAAACAAAAGTGTGTGGGGTGAAAGAGGAACAAGAGGCAAGTGGAAGCGCAGAGCAGACATGAGTTGTTCTCAGTCGGAATTCAGATCCAGGACCACCTGACCCCAGTGTGCTACATGATCCATTTGTGTTTGTTTTGCCCAAAGGTCTTTGAAGAAATGTGGGGTGGTCAGAATGGTGAAAGGAACAAGAATGATGTCTCCTCTGTGGGTGACGGCTAGAGAGGTCACAGGGATGTCTCACCCAAGTGGACAATGACCCCGACAGGCCATTTAACCTGTGCTTGCATTAGGCTCTCAACAGCTCAGATCAGGAGAATCAGCATTTCTGGGACCAAGAAACAGGCTTTGCTTTTACTCGGAAGTGGTGTTCTCATGTGTTCATGGAGTGGTTCCCACACCTCTTTCACAGGATCTGCTCCTCCAGCCCCTCGCTGCCCCTGGGAGGAGGGCCGAGCAGGTTCATCATCCTGCCTGGGAGATTGGCTTTGTTCAGGGAGGTTGAGAGAGCTCCTGCTAGAATCCCCTCATCCAGGATGGAGTGAAGGCAGCAGTAGACCAGATCATTGTCCACTTTTCACTGTGGCAACTTCAGAAAGCACAAAATAGGGCCCAGCGTGGTAGCCTAGCAGCTAAAGTCCTGCCTTGCACAAGCCAGTATCCCACATGGCCATTGGTTCTAATTCTGGCGTCTCAGCTTCCCATCCAGCTTCCTGATTGTGACCTGCGAAAGCACCTGAAGACGGCCCAAGGCCTTGGGACCCTGCACCCACATGGGACACCCTGAAGAGGTTCTTAGCTCCTGGCTTCGTATCAGTGCAGCTCTGGCCGTTGCGGCCACTTGGAGAATGAATCAGTGAATGGAAGATCCTCTTCTCTGTCTCTCCTCCTTTTTGTTTACCTGACTTTCCAATAAAAATGAAATAAATTTAAAAAAAAAAAAAGAAAACACAAAATAGCACTAGGGACAAAGCCACCCAGAGGTCCACGACAAAGAAGTTACCACAGTTCACACAGTTTGTTTCAGTTGTTTTATTTGGAGGGCAGAGAGGTCAAGTCAGGTTGTGTGTATGCCTGCGACAGGCAGGGCTGGGCAGGTAGGGACCTAGAACTGTTCTGGGTTTCCCACATGGGTGGTAGGGACCTTAGATCTCGAGCTATCATCCACTGCCTCCCAGGATGCACATGAGCAGGACGCTGGATCAGAAACAGAGTAGAGACTCGAGTCAGCACTGTGATATGAGATACAGGTGTCCCCAGAGGTGTCTCCACCATGGTATTAAATGCCTGCCTCTTCGGTTAGCCAAGAGTTTATTTCCAAACTTTCTTCAACTTCCTTTAAAAAAAAAACAAACAACCCAGGGAGTGGGTGTTTGGGTCAGTGACTAAGTTACCAGTTGAGATGTGTGCATTCCACCTTAGAGTACCTGGGCTTGAATCCCTGCTCTGGCTCCCGACTCCAGCTCCCCACCAATGCAAATCCTGGGAGGCAGCTGTAATGGCTTCAGTTGTTGGGTCCCTGTCACCCACATGGGAGACCTGGATTGAGTTCCCAGCTCCCAGCTTCAGCCCCCAGACCATCACAAGCATTTTGAGAGTGAACCAGGGGATGGAAGTGCTCAAGTAAATACATTTTCAATATTTATTTTTTAATGTTTTAAATAAATAAATAACAGGATCATGCTACATGTGCGCACTGTTTGGCTCATAACTGATAATTTCCTCTTCCCTTCCTCCTAGTGTGGATTCCCATGAATGCCAACCTCAGCTCTGTGGTCCTGCGAGCCCTGGACAGCCACAGCAACTCAGTGGGCTCCTGGCAAGGCGCAGATAAACACTGCAATGACAGCGTCCTCTATTACATGAAGCCTGGGGACCACACGCTTATCAAAGTGCAGTGGACGGCTCCTGCTTCTCACAACGTCACTGAAGTGGAGCTGCAGTAAGAACCCATTTTACTTTGCTTGTTAACTTCCATACTGGGGTTTACAGTTTCACATTGACCTTGGAAGATGGAAGAGACAATCCAAATGATGTGATGTGGAAAATTCAGCAGCGGCTCTTCCTTTCTGTCTCCCCATTCTCTCTGTCCTACCTTTTATCTGCAGCACTTACACACACGTACACATACCCACACACATCAGCTGTCTTCAACATAAACAGCAAGAACTGGGCAGCATTTTTGTTTAACATTACACTTAAACTGCAGACTCCTTTAAAAAAAATAGATTCATTTTGGAAATAGTTAACAGAAAGCATGAGGGTTGTATATAAAACTGGCTGCCTAGTGTCCCACAAAATAGACACACTCCAATTATGAGGGAGGTCACCTGGGGAAATTTAACAGTCAATCTTCTGGGTTTACTTTAGGAAGCAAACCTTGCGGGGAGAGGGAAGGGAAACTCATGCTCACTGATGAGCACCTCGCATTGAGAAGGCAGGTCTGACCTTGAGGCCGAGTCCACTGTCAACAGCCAGGTCTCTGTGGGAGCTTGTAACACCCCCAGTGATGGTGTGAAGCCATTCTGTGCTTTCCTGCCATTCTCTGGGCCTGCTCAGACTGAGCGGGCTTTGGAGCAGGCACTACTGTGCCCAGAGGACAATGTGCAAGAGACTGCCACGGCCTCACAAGGACAGCAGGTATTAAAGACAGCCAACGCTAAGTGGGCAGAAACTTCCTCTCCTCTCACCTGAGCGCCTGCCCACACATGCAACAATGTATAAAAGTGTAAGCAGTGACACTCTGAGAAAATCAGGACAGTTCCTCAGCAAGAGTGGGCTCCAGGCCCATCTCAACACACACACCTGCTACACCTGTTGGTCTCAGCTGGCTCACAGTGTGTACACAAAGCCACTCAAAGGAGGGGGAGCCCAGCATGGTAAGGGAGAAACAGAAAGCAAGGGACCCCAGTATGGTGGATACTGTGCTGAGAAGAGCACAAAACAGATATGAAGGGGCCTCTGCCACCAGGGACTTAACAGTGGGGCTGAGGAGGTAAGACCTAAAGAGAAGTAATTTCTGAGGCATATCGCTTTCTCAGCCTTCCCTGTAGTGTCAGGTCTTTGCTTTATGTTCTCATGACTTCCTCAACTGTATCAGTGCCTGGATCACAATGGCAATTGATGGCTGAACTCATCAGTTGATGATTTGAATTCTCTCAGATTGCCAGTGCCACAGGGGCAGGAACCATGCCATTCTCATTCACCACCAAGCACAGTGATTGGCATGTAGGGTCCTTGCATTAATTACCAGTTGAATGCATGAAGGTACGACTGACAATAGAACTATACTCAAGCCATAGGTCCTCCAGTGGGAAGGCAGAGTCAATGCACTTCAGTGCAGCAGAGGGACCCCACAGGAGACCTGTGGGTTAGTAATGAAGGGAGACATGACTTCCAGAAAAGGTTGCATCGAGTCTAAAGGCAGATATGACCAGAACAGGCCTTCAGTGCAGGAGACTGGCTTGCATCAAGAACAGATGTGGGAGGCAACTGGAAGGGAGTCCAAGGTGGTGACCTTGGTGGGGCTAAGATGGAAAAGACTCTTAGTCAAGCCAATGTAGGACAGGCCAACATTTAATGATGTATTAACTGTGCTGTGACAAAAGGAATTCAGTCCCAGAGGCAGAAATGTGAGCTGAGCTCATGAATTCCAAAGAAAAGGCCCTCACTTTCTCTCTCCTTGTTTTTCCCACCACAGGGCCTTCTGTGTAGATTTCAACAACACGGCTTTGTTTTCTTCCCAGAAGCTGGACAGAGCAGGTAAGTCCCTCTGCACATTTTGACAGAAAACTCAGCTGGCTTGGGAAATGGCTTTGTGAATGCTTGAGACAAGACAGTCTTCCTAACATCCAATAGGAAGGCATCACTTGAGTCTTCCAGCACTTGGAAATGTAACATTTGCCGAGCCTCATACCCCAGGCCCTGTGGGAAACAAAATCCCTCCCCAACATTTCAGCAGATTTCCAGAAGCTTTACATTCTCAGTCACTCATGGCTTGACTCCTGTGTAACCAGACATTAGTAGAAAAATCAACATCTTCCAGTTCGCAAAGCATTTATGGATATAGTAGCCTTTAGGCAAAGGGCTTTAAAGGAAGTGGGTGTAGGGGGTGGGAAGTGGCACAAAGAAGCACTGGTACAGTAGAGATATTGACAATTTCATCAATTCTTAAAGTGACCTTATGTGACATAGCACTAGGAATTTCCATTGGCCTTTTTTTTTTTTAACATTTACCTTATTTTTATTGGAAAGGCAAATTTACAGAGAGGAGAAACAGTAAGAAAGATCTTACATCTGCTGATTCATTCCTCAAGTGGAACAGCCAAAGCTAAGATGATCTGAAGCTAAGAGCCAGGAGCTTCTTCTGGGTCTCCCATGTGGGTGCAGTGTCCCAATGCTTTGGGCCATCCTTGACTGGCCACAAGCAGGGAGCTGGATGGGAAGTGGAGCAGCCAGGATATGAACCAGCACCCATATGGAATCCCAGTGCATTTAAGGCAAGGACTTTCAACACTGGGCTACTGTGCCAGGCCCAGAGATATCACTTTTAAGATCTAAATACATTCAGTTTTTTAACAGACCTTTGAAATTAGCAAAGAGATAAGAAAATTGCACTTTTCTGCATATTTTCACTAATCAATCTAATTTAATATTAACCACATGAAAAGAATCAAGCACAGGTTCTCTGCGCCAACAACAAATTCAACAATTTATTTGTCAACCCATTTATTTGTCACCCAAAAGATGTTCTAATGTCATTTTTTTCCCTGACAGTGATGACTACAACCATGACCTCCAACCCTACCACAGCCTTCACCTCCAAGACTTCCATAGCCTCAACCTCCAAGATTTTCACAACTTTGCCCCCCAGGATTTCCACTGCCTTGACGTCCAGAACTCCCAATAACCCATCCACAACTACAACCACAACCACAACCACAACCACAACCACAACCACAAGCTTAGCCCACAGAGCCTTCAGCAGTTCCATTGCAGGTGCCATTCATATTCTGCTCGTCTTTCTCACCAGCAAACTCCTCTTTTAAAGGAAATTTAAAAATCGGTCATTCCCACTTCTACCACATTCTCCAGTTCCAAATGGTTCAGTTCAGTTCCAAACAGGTGCTTGGACACGTGTAAAGAATGAAGGCCTAAGACTGCCAAAGGTACAACTCTACAACCACTGCTTTGGGCCACTGCTGGGGGAGCGTGGGTCACACAGATGCTTAACTGGACCTTTCAGGGACCCAGTAAGGTTTTTTGTAAATACTGAGATCTGGCTCAAGTGTAACCTCAGGTTCTGCTTCTTGGTTTAACACACTGACAGCCAACTCCACAGTCGACCTAAACTTCTGTTCATTGCTAGCTCATTTCTCTGTACTCCCTGAGTGTCCATGGGAAGAATCCTTCCCTGCTTCCAAGATGACCTCAGGGTTCTGACCAAACCCACTTAGGTTACACAGAATGTCTGGGACTCATGTGATTCAAGGAGGAAAGGAAAAAGAAGAAATAGCCCTGGGGCTATTGGCAGCTTCTCATTTTGTTTGCACTGTGGGTTCTGCAGAGCAAAGAACAGGGATGTGCCCTGTGCAGACACTGATAGGAAATCATAGGGTGGGTAGGTATCAGCGTATTTTTTCTATTTCAGGCCACAAATATTATATTCTTCAAGCAAAAAATGAACATGATCAATTCAAAGTCCAAAGAGTGATCAAACTTATTGCATTCAGTTTTGTATTAAAATTTTCACAAAATGCTGAGTGTGTGTGTTTTCATGGCCAGACATAAGGGTTACAATATCCTAATTTTCATTTTCCTTAAGCACAAACTGGTAATCTCCCCTCATAGTAATTTCTGTTAAGAAATGGGCAAAATATTTATTATATTTATAGAATGATGTAAAGTAAAAAAAATGGTATTTCCAGTAAGTTGATAATAAACAATGAGGCTTTCTTTTAATAATTGTGCTAAATCCCAGGCCAACAGTCTTCCCTGACCCCCTAGAGCATGTGCCTTTTAATGGTTCTCCCACTGTTCACTCGATATCATGGTACATTCTCATGGCATTCCCCACCACAGTCTGTGTATATAACTGATGGAGCGTTCCTAGGCAGACATCCAATCTGCTCATTCATAGAATCTTGACATACCAAAATATCTACCATTGTGAAAGGTTGCCTACAATTGTTTTCAGTCATCTAAAAAGTTACTATAATAAATGAAATAACCAACTTTTTCTCTCAAGATCATCTCCTTACTCATTTGGGAGCCAGGGTAGGTGTAGGATGGGTTGGGCTTGGTCTTGGCACCCGCTGAACCACATGAGAGCTGGGTTTGGGGGTGGACCAGATGTGGCTGGGCTATAGCACCCAACAGTCAAAGCCAGAATGGGTGTAGACTGGTCAGGCAAGGCTGCTGATCCTGCCAAGATAGTAGGTGGGCCAAGTCAGGCTGACCCACCAATATGAGATCTGCCAGTGGGAGGTGACCTGATAGAGGAACTTGGGGAACTCCTCTGTTGGGACACAGTACCTGCAAGTGAGCACAAGAATCCAGACTGGGAGCAGCCCAGACCAGGCCAAATTACAGTACCCACCAGCAGTTGCAAATATGTGAGTCAGGCCTGGGGGAAGTCCAGGCTTGGTCAGTTCACTGTCAAACACTCTTTGACAGATTGGAGAACCAGGAGAGGGTACAGGACAAGTCAGGCTGAGTTGCAACATCACCCAGTTCACATTAGGGCCAAGACTGGGGGCTTGCTGGGCTGAGTTGAGCTGCAGCACCCACCAACATGAATTAGAACTGGGGGCAGACAGGACCAGGTCAGACTACAGCACCCATCAGTAAATACCAAGGTGAGGTGAGTCATGCCAACCTGGGCCATAGCACCCATCAGCACATGTAAGACCTGAGGTGGGGGGAGGGAGGCACTGAGTTCATTAGGGGTCCACAAGGACTCCTCTGCTGAATTATTGCTCCTGTTGGTGACTGTGAAAGTTGGGACTTGGAGCAGATCAGGCTGGGCAGGGCTACAACTCTTATTGGTCTGCATATGAGCCTGGTTAAGGGAGAGCCAGGCTGGGCTAAGAGACCATATCCACTGGTGCATGCATGAACCAGGGTAAGTGCACGCTTGTTGTGCTTTGCCACAGCATTAGCTGGCAAGTGCTGGGGCTGAGGGAAAGCCCTGTCATACTAGATCATAGAGCCACCTGGAAAGTGCAAGATCCAGGGCTGGGATTGGACCCAATAGGAAAATTGTGGGCATCTTTCCGATGGGTTGTAGTTTCCACTGGTAAGCATGAGAATGAGAGCTGGGAGTGGGACTGGCTAGATAGGTTGGTTGGGTTGAGCTAGGCTACAATGCCCATTGATGTGTGCTAGAGCCAAATGAGATGTAGGACAGACTAGACCAGTCTCCTGCACATTACTGACATGCACAGGAACCAGGGCTGGGGCTGACTTAGAGGGGGTTATTATAATTGCAGTCTTGCTAGGCTGCAGTTCCCACTGGAACACATGAGGGCTGAGTGTGTGGTAAGGTAGAGTTGGGCTGGGTGGCAGCATCCACTGGTTTGTGTAAGAGATGAAACTGGAGACAGAATGACTCAGCAACTGAATTCACCAGAGGGTGTAGACTGATGTGGTAACAGACTGAGCCAGACCCTTTACTGGTTAGCACACATAGGAGTCAGGTCTGGGGTCATCTCAGACAAGCCTTCTTTGGGGACCCCCTCCTCCCGCAACTGAACCACTGGACTCAGAATTGCATGATGAAGAGAGAATTGCAGGATGAAGTTTATGTGTCAGAATGGACCTCCTTGGTTGCTAGAAATGGTGCAGTGGATGGCATCCCCAGATGCACATGGGGGGCATGACAACCATTTCACTGAGGCCTGCAGAGAATGTCTAATGCTAGAGGGCAAAAATTTGGGCAGCTACCCCAGGCAAGCACTGACAGCAAGTATCTGGGCAATGGAAACTCTAAGATGAAATATGTCAGCCAATGGACCTTGGAAGGATTTCTTCATCCTTGGAGCAATGAAATCAACAGCATTTCAGAACTATCAAAACTACTTGAGCAGTACCCTCAGAGCATGCTCCACATTGAGACACTGGGATGACACTGGCTGGTCACTCCCCATCCCCAAGTACTGATGCAGTTGGGAGGCTGAACGCAGCTTCTCTCCTCCCAGATACAGGAAGAAGAAAAAAAAATTGGAAACAATGGTCTCACTCACTTTCCCCTATTCCTTGACCCTTCCCACCCTAACTGGTGATCCACATGGGCATGCATCCTTCTCGCCTATGTAAACATCATCAAAAATAAAAAGAAATTTTAAAAAAATGATCTCCCCAAAACACTGAGAAATGTCACAGGATGAGGAGAAACCCACAGCTGCCCACCCATTTAATCATCAATTGCTTCATACTTCGAGACTGAATATTAGGAAGAAATATTAAAAGAAATACCCTAGTTCTTAATCCTACAAAACTTCTTGCTTTTGTGATCACTTCCACTCTCATTAAAATTATAAAAAGAATTTTATTACTATACTGTTAAAACTAACAGCCCTATTCTGATTTAGATAATGGCCATCTCCAACTGCTTCAGGTTCATTTAGCAACAAATATTAATTGAGCATCTGCTACATACCAGATAATGTTCTGAGCTCTTAAGCAACACAAAGGTCCTTCTGGGCACAGATCCCCATCTCACAACTGCTTCACCAACCTGCCAATTTTTTTTTTTAAAGATTTCATTTATTTTTATTGGAAAGTCAGATATACAGAAAGGAGGAAAGACAGAGATGATTCACTCCCCAAGTGAGTGCAACGGCCGGTGCTATGCCGCTCTGAAGCCAGGATTCCAGAACTTCTTCCAGGTATCCCACAAGGGTGCGGAGTCCCAAGGCTTTGGGCTGTCCTCGATTGCTTTCCCAGGCCAAAAGCAGGGAGCGGGATGGAAAGTGGAGCAACCAGAACTAGAACCAGCGTCCATAAAGCTTCATATTTAATCCTTACAAAAATGCATTACCTTAAAAGTTGCCTGATTATTCTCTATATTTTCAAAGATGAGATAATTAGCACTCAGAGGTGTTATGTAACTGGCCTCCATCACAGAACTAGCAAAAGGCTGGGAAGTAAAATGGATTTGCTCACAAGATAATGCATTCCCATTTCACCAAGATGACTTTGAGTCAGCCACGATTTTAATGAGCTGAGTGATAAGGGATGAACAGTTGGCTCTGCTTCACTGAATGAGTGTACAATAGTAACAGTGGCATGAAACCAGTAGTAATAACTGCTCCATAAATGGTAGCCGTTCTGACGATGTGTCTTAGTGTCTCTCAGTTTCCCCTTCTTGGAGTTCACTAAGTGTCTTAGATATACATATTCATGTCTTCTATTTGATTTGATAAGTTTTCAGTCATTATTTCCTTAAATATCCTTTTTCCCCTTTTCTCTTCTTAGAACCCCACTACACATGTAGCAGGACACCTCGCTGTGGCTCACAGTTCTCTGACTGTTCATTAGTTTTCATTCTTTTTCCTTTCTGAACTTTAGGATCATTTTGTTGCCCTATTCCTAAGTTCACTAGTTCTTAGGTCTAATTACCACAGCCCCTTGGATGAATTTCTCACTTCAGTTACACTTTTCAGCGCCAACATTTCTACTTGGGTTGTTGTTATCATTTGTATCTCCTTTTTCACATTCTCTGTCCAGACATTGGTCTCTTACTTGTCTTTAGTTCTCTGTGCATGGAGGTGGCTGACTTAAAGCCTTTGCCTAGTACTATAGTTTAGATACTAGTTTGGTTGTCTCTCAAAAGCACTCATTTTAAAGGCTTGTTCCTTAAGTTCTTATGTTAATGAGAATAGTAAAGGCTAAGGGAAGAAACTTGAT